AGCCACTTCCTCGTCCGACATTAAACAGCCCCACAGAGGAGGGAGGGGCGGGGCGACTGTCGCCGTGCAGCTGCGCTCGAGCTTCAAACTTCAGCGTTGGCTGCGATTTTGACGCTGAAATCGCGTTCGGTGTGAACGCACCATTAGAGATAGGGTGAGAAGCTCGGTCTTCCAGGAGGGACTCAGATTAAAGCCGCTGCTCTTCCACGTCGAGAGGAGCCAGTTGAGGTGACTCGGGCATCTGGTTAGGATGTCTCCTGGTTGCCTCCCTGGTGAGGTGTTCCGGGCATGTCCCACTGGGAGGAGGCCCAGAGGAAGACCCAGGTCACACTGGAGGGACTATGTTTCTCGGCTGGCCTGGGAACYCCTTGGGATTCCCCTGGATGAGCTGGTCCAAATGGCAGGGGAGAGAGAAGTCTGGGTCTCTCTGCTTAGGCTGCTGRCCCCGCGACCCGACCCCGGATAAGCGGCAGAAAARGGACYGACATACGAAAWTTTTTTTGCTAGATTCTGGCTACATTTACACTCTGTGCACCTCAACCTAGTGATGYGATGCCATCATTTTGCAGGTAAAAACAATCAACTCATTATGGGAGATGTGGTTTKTGATCAATGCTGGCCTATTTTAAGATATTAATACATCTTTTTTTTCTGGCCGCATAAAACACCTTGTCAAGCCCCATTTGGCCCGCAGGTCTTATGTGAGTTAGATGATTAGAGGTGCATTGAATCCATTAAGTGATTCAAGTGCAAAATAATTAAAAATGATGATTTTAAAGCAGGATGTTCATGATTTCAATAAAGAAAAACTTACACCCAAAGAGACAKGAACAGATCTACTGACTGCGCTGCAGTCCACTTATTATCCATCCCGTCTGTTTAGGGATCTTATGTGACATTTGAGACTGCAGGACATCGTGTAACGTTTATGTTTGTGGTAAACCACAGCCTCCGTCTTGTTCAGTTCTTCAGTCTCTCCAGCTCTGCCTTCTTCTTRTTCTCCTCTCACAAACAGGGCTCAGTTTGTTCTAGAGGCTCACTGGATATACTGTGCCTCACACATGACAAACAATGTCCCCCCCCTTTTTTGTGCATTCATGCCCCGCTCGAAGATTCAACTCCACGACCTTCTCCATCCATTTCTTGGCTCTTACACCTCTCTATATTGGGCTCAACTCTTTGAAGTTGTCCTTTATTTCACTCCTTGGCAGAAGTTACTTCTTTGTACCATTTCTCCCTCTATTTCTCTCTCTCTCTCTTTCTCCTCACCTCTRTCTCTCTGAGGAATGTGGTCCAGCATGGCTCTTCCTGCTAGTTGGTGAAAAGGGACAGGAATCCCATTGATGGAGCTCTGAGTGTGGGGGTGGGTTATTACACATGCATATACTCCACGTGTATATGTGAGTGTGTGTAGTGCTTTATAAATACCCGGAGATGTGTCCAGTGAACATGGACTATTAAATACACTTTGTGTTGAAAATCCAGAAGAATAGTAGGGAAGTAGACATAAAAATATTGGACAGTTGTGTTACAACAATCATATAATTTTGRTCTGATARGCTGACAAACAGTGGGGAGAAGAAAACTGTGAGTTCAATGGCTTCATTATGCAGAAGTGTGTATGTGTACTTGTATTTGTTACCTTTTTAGGAAAGTTTCTGGTATACACACCTACCTTGTCAAGACCAGCGATCTTTATGGGGACCAAAGACTGGTCCTAATATGGTGGAAATCCATTTTGGGGTTGGGGGTTTAGTTTAGGACTAAGGTGTGAATTGAGTTTAGGCTAAATTRAAGGTCAGGTATGTCTTGGTAATGAATAGTTTATTATCAAAAATGTGGAGTAGAGCTGTTGATTTGATCACAAAGTCTGTTAATTTGGAGGGTAAACAATTATTTSTAAGTGCTTGTAGGAGTTTGGTTTTAAGTTAAATTAGTGGGMGAGGTGTTGTGGGGAGCTTAAGACTCGTTATTAGTCCTTCYAGCTGGGGTAAAGTACTAAAGTATTATTGTATCTATGTTAACCTTTAAGGTTAAGAGGATGTAAATTTAAAGGAAAAGTTCAAGAGGTTTGATCACTGTTTGTGTCAGAGTGTGGTTGAGGCTAATCCTCACAGACGACTGGGCTGCAATTAAGACTCCTGAGGCCCAGGAGTCACCCTATCCCATAGTGCTGTTCCTTTAGGCGGAAACCTGGGAAGGTAGATATGTACTGTGCCATGGTTTCAAGAATACATTGTCGGTTAACACCGCTGGGTGAAACATTGTTGATTCTCCTTTGATCCAGGTCTCTCTCCCAAGTCCCTGGGAAGGGCACTTCCTGAGTCTCTGGGATTCCCTCTGCTCGGCCAGGATTGGTGGGTTGTTTTGGGGTTTGTTTGTTTGGCTGATTGTTTTGAAGCTTGCTGGTGTTTGTTGGATTGTTTTTAATCTTGTGTAGTAGAAATCTTGTTGTTTTAATAAAAAAAGTCAATGAGTGGTCCTAATAAGGATAGAAATACAAACTTGTGTGTGTGTATAAGTCTCTCTGTGTGTGTATGCGTATTTTCTACATTATGGGGATCATTTTCCAGACAAGCTCAATCGTGCGGGGACCTAATGATCCTTTTGGAGACCAAAGCCTGGTTCCCATAAGTAAAGATGCCATTTTGGGGTGGGGTGGGTGTAGGGTGGGGTTTAGGTTTAGGACCAAGGTGTGAATTGAGTTTAGGTTAGGTTTAGGGTAAAGGGTCACTGTTAAGCTATAGAAATGACCAGTAAATGAAAGGAAGTCAATGCAATGTCCCCACAAGGATGGAAAAAACAACTTGTGTGTTTGTTGGTTTTTATTTATAAAACAACAAAAAAAAAAAACCTGAAATGTAGTCGGTTACAGCTACAGAAATGATTAAAGAGTTTGACAAATTTCCACAAAATAATCTAAAATATGTCATTCTTGTGTTCAGTCGATGAAATGTTAGCTCAATATCTGTAAAATTGGGTTATAGTCATTTATGTAACACGTTAGAAAACATAACTACATGTCAAATACTAAAATAAATAGTGTTTATTAGAGTTTCACACAGACTATAAAAATAAATCACTGTTTTTTTGTTCACAGTTTGTATTTTAATTCAATTACATGTAATATTTCTAACACTCTTCAGTTTCCCTCCTCTGTCTCCCCTTCAGTCTTCAGTACATGGCCCACTTTGAGCGCCGGGACCTGAAGGCCTTCTCCGTCGAGCCTCTGCTCATCTACCCAACCCACTACACTGGAGAGCCGGGCTACATCAGCGACACGGAGACCTCCACCATCTGGGACGACGACGCCGTGGCCACAGACTGGGACCGGCAGCACGCCCGCAAGACGGCCCAGCAGGGGCGCATCCAGCCCGTGGCYCAGAACAGCGTGACCGGAGACTCGCCTCCTCCTGCGGCTCGAGTGTCGCGAGATGAACTCTGACCCGGAGACACGCAGGACACTCGGCATCGACGTTGGCCAACGCTGCTTTAAGAACGGGGCTGTAAGAAAKCTAACGAGGAGCTGAAACTTTATTTATTCTCCACGTGTCTCCTATGAGGACTTCACGGCCTGAGGACAGCTWACATCATTTACAAAATGTGAAGAAAAGAAAAAGATTCTCACAAYGATGGACGTTCATGTCACTTAAAGGATTCTAATGGTTTAAAGCAAACAGATGTGTTTTCTAACAAACAGCTGTAGAATTAAAAACAGTTTGTCGTGAAGCTGTGTAGTGCAGTGCACGAGGACATATTCATGTGCTTACCAAGTGAGCGKGTGTGGGAGGAGACAGGGCTGACGTCATTTTGTACCCAGGGGTGTCACTTCTTCAGATGAGGTCATGCAAATARAAAACAAGTACACACACACATACACACACTCACAAGCTCAAAACTCAAGACATTTTGTTCCAAGCAGCATGACAGAAACAGATGCTTTGACAATCCAAAGATTCTGTTTTTTTGCAGAAAGAGGACAAATTTTACAAACCATCGAAAAAAAAAATGTCTTTAGAAAACAAGTGGGCTGGTTCTGCTGATTAGCATTTCAGAGCATAAAACAAATAAGATGCAGTTTAACGTAAAAAAAAAACTTTTTGGATTCTTGAAGATGTCTCAATTTTAGCAAGTGCCTTTTTTGTTCAGTTCTGCTGCAGGTTGAAGCAATAAAACTGCTTCTCAGTTTATGTGTTTTCACTCATTGCAGATTAAACTGACAGATGTTAGCCACCCTCATAAAAAATAGATAATTTGTTGTTTTGACATGTTGGTGGAGCTCATAGGACAAAACATAAACAGAAATCACATCAGCTTTTTATCTCTGTGAGACAAAAATATGCATCAGTTTGTGTTTATTATTGTTGAACAAATTAAGCTAACTGTTCCCGTGACCCGATGAAGGAATATTAACTTCATTATAACAGACAAGTAAAACAGAATCGTGCAAAGTTCTAGCTCCACTTCAGCTCAGTTTTACGCTTCCTGTTTGCTGAGGGAAATAGGAAGTCAGGGATTAGGATCTGAGGAAGAAGAGTGAGTGAACYCTCCACAAAATCCAGAATGTGAACAGCAACAAAAATAAAAAATAAAATAAAACAAAGAGTTGGTTTCTCAAAGGTGGTGGATTTTACTGCACATTTCTTGCACGGGTCAATTGTAAAACAAAAACAAAAAAACTTCACTGTGGTTTCGTGACTTATCAGATCTTGTTTGACGCAAAACTTTTCGTTTGAAAATCTCGAGTGAAACTGAACAGACTTTATTCAAAATAAAGTGTGATGTTTTAGTGTTTTTTTTCCCCTGCCGGTGCTGTACTGAGAAGAGAAATTTGCTGCCATCCCTTGGTCATRTTGTGAATTCTTACAAACTGCTGATCATTTGGAAAGTATTTTTTAAATAAAGTTCTTTACGCAGCTAACACCATCTTCTCTCCTACTTTTTCAGTTCTCCTTTGAGGTCCAAAGATCAGGTTTAATGAAATGTTACTGTGCTTCTAGAAGAGATGACCCACAGTACTGATAACAGACTAAAATACTTTTAATTTCTCTGGGAAAATGTAAATTTAGTGCTTCAGCTGTTGGTGTATTGGAAAACTTTTATTTCTGCATTTTTGTCTTTTCAAACAACAATAACAAACTTCCCAACACTCTGCTACTGTTAAACTCAGAATTTTACATGTCTGCTCATGCTACATCTACTTTTAAAACAATAAATCAGTGTTGGATGTGTTGTTGTTTGACTGCAGACCCACAGTGTTTGTCGCTCACCTGGTTACCTGCAATCACAAATGATTTGACAGATGTTGTGATGCATGTGTCTGTATGCTGACACCTTCCCAAAATAAACACCTGAGTCATTGTTTTGTCAAGATTTTCAGGAAACACAAAAACTTAACCAAAATTATACCGTATGATATTTTTTAAGGCACTAAGTTTCTTAGGCAATTATTTTAGTAAGGTGTTGAAATGACGAATGGTTATGGAGTGCTAAGTGTTAAATAAAATCAAAAAGAAAAAAATTGTATAGGTCTTCTGGACGGTTCTTCTCTAATGAAACGTTTCGTCTCTCCTCTAAGAGACTTCTTCAGTCTGAGAGTTTCAGGCTAAATTCAGGCATTTAAGCCTTGCCTCCATGTGACT